GCTTCGCGAAGGCATGCGCCGGGCGACACCTGAATCCAGATCATCATCATCTAGAAGGACATCGAGGGACTATACAAGAGCTTAGCGAAACTATCAATGTTCCCCTCACAAGTCTCCAAGAAGATCAACCCATAGACAAGTTGATCATCGATATCAAGTATAAGAACTACAATCATTATATTGGTTCTGTTGAATCCATGGCGAGGGCGTATGTTCGCTGGCCTAAATAGATCTAGAACGATCAATTAGACACTTATCACCAGACTTCGTGTAACCACGACTTCTGAATATGATAAGATGATCCATGCCCTATTTAGGCAAGCGCCGCCCGATCCACATCCTGTTAAACACAGAGGCTGTTCACGAAGCAAGTGCTCATATATATATTTATATATATATATATATACTAATCGGGCTTTGACTCGACACCTTCGCGATGGTCGCGAAGGCTAAGTGGCTCCAAGTCTACTTCACCCAGAAGATCTAGAAGGGATGCCGAGAACCCAGCGAAGTCTCCGGCGTTCACCGAGGAAGTCTCCTCCAAGGTTTCCATATACTAGCCACTCGTCATATATAGCTACTCGTCAGTCCGTTCAAGGCGCCGCATAAGTTGATTATCAACTGTATGCCAGATGCGATCTATAAGCCTACGCGAAGATAATTGCTCAGGCTATTTACAACACAGAACGTCGCTGTATTATTAGTCAACGACATTTCATAGATCTTCACAGAAATTAACTATTCCGTGATAAATTGCTAATATACAATCCCGGACGACGATACGATTATCTACATGCGTGACCATTACGCATATCTGCAGACAATTCAATATCGAGGAAATTGAACAGCAGCCTTGTTACAGCGAAAGTATAACTCTTAATCGCGTCAAAGTTTCTGAGAAGAAATATGTACAACAAGTTCAACGTTAATTCTACAATTATGACGATACATTCATGTATACAGTCTACAAGCTCACAACTTGCAAGTTGTTTATACCCTATATATATAAGGAAGTCGGAATTATATTCAAAACTGAAATTACTTTCACGACAACCAGGAAAATAACCTACCCAGCATAAAATTACAGAGCGAGATATTTTTACCGGAGGTTCAGCGGTTACCATTAACCCTCGAAAACGCGTGGTCACCGGATAACTTCGGAAGCTACGGTGAAGACCGGCGTTTATGCTAATATCAACGGACGACAAGAATTTATTCAAGGTGGGTTTTTCCGCTACACGGTGACATCACAGCGGGTATTATACAGAATCAAAATGCCTTGTTCTGATTGGATCAATGACGGACAACGACCTACACAGAGGTCGATCTCTATTCACAGTTCAAGACTTACGTCACAAGTGACAACTATATATCAGTGAGCGAGCAAGCCTCTCATTACAGTCCAGTTAACCTGAACATTCATGATTAGACTGCCTTTCTTCAAGTTAGAGACCTCCCCTGTCAAGTATAGGCGAGGGATCGGCAGTCAGGCGATTTTACATAAAGTTCAACGAGGACAGACACACCTGGTTGTGCACCTACATCGTCAAGGACTTAGCAGAGCGAATTACCTAGGCGAAAGATACAAGTGGATCTAAATCCACAGCGTTTCAGACTACAGCTGAATTTCATCAGCGACTAACACAACTAGATGGTTAGTAAACCTACTAAACTTCTGTTTGGAGAATAAAACGGAAATTTCAGCCCAACCTGGGGATATGAATATAGTGCTCCAACACCTCACAAGTGAGGTTTATGAACACGCCTGGATGACATACTTGGACCCCATGATACGATGATTCTATCAAGATGGCCAGCAAGAGCACTGTAAATTTATCTCCACCAAACCAAACAGGAGGAAAAAATGCAACAGATTATTTCCTCTATCATCAACTTACGCTATAGAGTGAAGTCTCATGTACTATATCTCCATTTGGATCAGAACTGTCATACTACGTGCATATGGATGGACCTATTCCGACCCTCCATGAGCTTAATACTCATGATATTATAGCTTAACTTCTACAATTGTTCTACACAAATGTGATTGAAATAATGGAGGGTTTATTTCTGGAAACCGATATGGTGGTTGCAAACCATTATCTGAGAGATATCACCACCGAGGACGCCCTCAGGTATACACCAATTCGATCCCATGGTCCTCGCACAACAGCTGACAGTTCCTCGGAGAAGATAAGTCAATCTAACAGATTTTTACTTATCTTATAACAATACTAAATAGCTTCATGCTATATATAATTTACTTAAGTTCCTTTTATCATCACAGTACTATGATTATTACATCATACAATATATAAGTTAACAACTCTACAGAGTTTGTTATTATATATATTTACCTTAAGTTATTCATATCTTAAGAGTAATACTATGGTTACATGATAAATGCATTAGCTAACAAACTCTACAGAGTTTTGGCTATTTTATACATAGCTTAAGTTAATTAAGCTAACAAACTCTCTGAGGAGTTTTACTATATATATAGGTAACTTAAGCTAATTATACCTTAAGCATAGTACTATACTCATATTATTAAAATATATTGGCTAACAAACTCTAAGGAGTTTTGCTATTATATAGGTAGCTTAAGCTTATTCATATCTTAAGCTTAGTACTATGTTTATATCATATAAGTAGATTAGCTAACAAACTCTAAAGAGTTTTTGCTATTTGGCTTAAGTATCATCATATTTCTAAGCAATATGGTTATATTATAACATGTATTAGCTAACAAACTCTACAGAGTTTTAGCTATTATATATGTAACTTAAGCTTATTCATATCTTAAGCTTTAGTACTATGTTTTTATATCATATAGGTATATTAGCTATCAAAACTCTAAAAGAGGGTTTTGCTATTATATATTTCGCTTAAGTTTCATCATATTTTAAGCTTTATGGTTACATTATAACATGTATTAGCTAACAAACTCTAACGGAGTTCTTGCTATTATATATGTAGCTTAAGTTTTCCTTCATAAGCTCAATACTAGGTTTATATCATAGCTAACAAACTCTAAAGGGTTGTTTTCGCTATTATACAATTAGCTTAAGTTTTCATCATATCTTAAGCAGTATGTTTACATTATAAGGTATTAGCTAACAAAACTTCTAATGAGTTTTGTTATTATATATATATAGCTTAAGTTTCATCATAACTTAAGCTCAGTACTATGTTTTTAACATAAAAGTATATTAGTTAATAAACTCTAAGGAGTTTATTTTGCTATATACATTTAGCTTAAGTCTAATCTTATCTTAAGTTTAGTACTATGGTTACACTATAAACATATTAGCTAATAAACTCTACAGAGTTTTTGGCTATTATATATGTAGCTTAAGTTAATAATATCTTAAGCACAATACTATACTCATATTGTAAAATATATTAGCTAACAAACTCTCACGGAGTTCTGCTATTATATATGTAGCTTAAGTTCATTATATCTTAAGCACACTACTATACTCATATTGTAAAATATATTAGCTAACAAACTGTAATGAGTTTTGCTATTATATATGTAGCTTAAGTTAATTATATCTTAAGCACACTACTATACTCATATTGTAAAATATATTAGCTAACAAAACCCTACAGAGTTTTGCTATATATATGTAGCTTAAGTTAATTATATCTTAAGCTCAGTACTATACTAATATTCTAAATATATATTAGCTAACAAACTCTACAGAGTTTGGCTATTATATATGTAGCTTAAGTTAATTATAGCTTAAGCACAGTACTATACTCATATTATATAAAAAATATATTAGCTAACAAACTCTACAGAGTTTTTGCTATTATATATGTAGCTAAAGCTTATTCATATCTTAAGCTCAGCATTATATCTATATCATATAAGTATATTAACTAACAAACTCTAAAGAGTTTGCTATTATATAATTAGCTTAAGTTTAATCATATCTTAAGCTTAGTACTATGTTATATCTTAAAGTATTTTAGCTAACAAACTCTAAGGAGTTTATACTAGCATATTAACAAGCTTAAGTCTATTAGTCTTAAGCATTGTATTAATGTTATATATACTTTATCATAATAAGTACATGGTAATAACCTTTTATATGGCAGCTGATAAGTTAGCAGCAGGAATTCATCAGTTCAGTGCCTTATGAAGTTCCCATAGGGTTATTACAATCATCACAGTTCAAATCACTAATTATTAAAAATCCAAAGTATTAGATATTCCCACCTCCGTTCCGTAGGATGCTACAAGCAAAAAGAGCATGAGTCAGGATAAGGAAAAATATGTAATTTTTGGAGTAAAATTGATATTTTATACTTATCCTGACTCATGAGGTCAGCCCTCCCATCCTCCCCAAATAACACTTTGGATTTCCCTGTAAATTCAAATGTTGGGCTCAGTATATGAGGAGAGAGTGAGGCACATGGGTGGAGGTGGCGCCCTCGTTCCCGAGCTTGTGGAAAGGAGGTAACTCGTGGTGAATACTGGTTGGTGATTTTAAATTGAAGGGAGCTTCAATTAGGGAGATACAAGTGTTCCACTATGTTCGCAAGAAGAAGAAGACAAGCAAAAAGAGCATGAGTCAGGATAAGTATAAAATATCAATTTTACTCCAAAAATTACATTTTTATGAGCTGATAATTGTCAGGACTATTACATTAATATTTATAGTGGCTCGCTGTATGGCAGTCTAAGGCCCATTTTTCATTTTAGGGGTAAACATAGTATAGACAACTGATGAACGTGGTTTGTATTCCATGACTGTTGATAGTACACTGTCTGCATGGTAATGTGTTTATTCATCCTTGTCATAATATAGAACCAGCAGCTGTAGCAGAATAGAAATATCTACATGCCAGACTGCATCTCTTCTCTCACCTACAGCAGCAGTAACAGCAGCAGCTCCATCGACATGGTCCATGCCACCGTTGCCTGCAATACTGCATATGTGTGGAGTGGATAGCATGAAGACTTATCTAACACTGTGCTTCTTTTGCAGTTATGGTCATTGTAGAGGGAATGTACGGCAGCCCTGCTGGGGAAATCTCATATGGCATAAAGAAGGTTGGCAGGCAGTAGGTCTCAGTGTTGTGCGGACATCACCAGCTTCCGTGGATAAACATTGGCTTAACTTGGGCGGTTGGTAGCGAGGGCAAGTACAGTAGGTAAACTGGGATCTGTTACGGAGTTGAACCAAACTCATATCCATTGTAATAAATTTGTAGTTGTTTGCCTTCTGTTATCAACATAGTGAAAGGTTAGGCTGGAACAAATTAAAAATTGTTTTGGTTAAAAAGTGCATCAATAAAATATTGAAAAATAATATTGAGTTGATTGTTAGTGGAGGCAAATACCCGGTATATAAATTGTTTGAATGTGAATGATAGGGACTTTACAGAGATTGAACCAAACTCATGTCCTTTATGTAATAAAATATTTATGATTTATTTTTAACATTGAATACAGTTGTTATGGGGTTCAAGATCATGAAGGTGGTTTGATAAAAATATATTCACGTACAACATTAGATAGGTAGCAGTATCACTAGGAAGGGTCATTTTAACAAGAATGAAGCTATAATGTTTTTGTTTGGGAAAAAGAGGTAGAGATATTGGCATCCTTTAAATCTTCAGGGATCACTTTTCATAAATCATTCACTAATCCTGGGATCCTTTACATGGTTCTTGCAATTGCAGTTTTCCTTTCATTGGTAGCTGGTGATGTCAGCCACAGCACGGAGATTTACAGTTGTCATCTTTGTTGTTGGTTTCTTCAGTTCCTTCTGGTTTTGTTTCCCATTCTACTTCCTGATTATTTTACCTGTCCTCGAGATCTGGATCTCGAGCTTCTTTCTTGCCTTATCTAGATCACTTTAGATGTTAGATAGCTGTAGATAGTGTTATGCTTTGGTAACCTGCCATTCCTATGCCATTTATGCTGATAGATAGTGTGACTCTTTGCAAGTGTTAGTTCTTATTTAAGTGAAACTAGGTAAGTCTTCAGCATTGTCAGCCATTTATGGTGTCTCTACAATGTGGGGCGGTGGGGTAGCCTAGTGGTTAAAGCGTCCGCTTGTCACGCCGAAGACCTGGGTTCGATTCCCCACATGGGCATAATGTGTGAAGCCCATTTTTGGTGTCCCCCGCCGTGATATTGCTGGAATATTGCTAAAAGCGGCGTAAAATCAAACTCACTCACTCACTCACTCTACCATGTGATAGTGTTCATTATATATATATTGTTTAGGTGTTAATGTAGATGGAAATTATGTTCAGTGGCATACAGATATCTTGTATACATCTCACCTCACAAATTATAAAAAGGAATAGCAAGAAAGCCACCTTTGTAGGATTCCTAGGGAATACTAATTAATTCATATTTCTACATATAGAAAACATTTTTCTGTGGAACACCTCATACTATAATGAAGTATAATACTGACAGTTGGAGTGGTGATGTGGCCTAATGGTTAAAACCTCCACCTGTCACACAGAAGACCCGGGTTCGATTCCCCATATGGGTACAATGTGTGAAGCCCATTTCTGGAGTCCCTGCTGTGATATTGCTTGAGTATTGCTAAAAGCAGCATGAAACTATACTCACTCACTACTGACAAATGAACCAGCTACAGGACTCTAGTCTCAGTCAGTATTTTTATCAGTGGACTAAGGCCATCTAGAAATGATACAGATCTACGAAGATGTTCCTACACAGTTTTCTCTAGTCTGAAACCCTGCTGTGGGAAAATTCTGTTTGGTCTCGGCTCAGCTGACAGTCATGATATAGTAACGAAGTGTGGTCACACTTTGGTTCAGAATTCACATTCTAAACACTGATGTACAGATGAACTGTTGGATAAAGATACATTTTGTCAATATATAAATGTTTTGAAAATTTCACTTTTGTGTCCAGTGGCTTTTTTTGCTTTTCCTCTGAAATAACAATTGAAACAAAATTGATACAAGTGAAACACGAAGCATTTAACATATCCAACTTCACTGGGACACTTAAAATGAAATATATACGTTTTTATATTTTACCAGCAAACCTCTTACATAATTCTTGCCGATAGTTATCTTGTATGTGGAAATTGTCAACCTGGAATCTGCAGGGTAGATAACAAGTCCTACTTTAGAATCATGTTGATTGCAGCAGAGAAACGTTCGTCTTATATATATATATACATATATATGTTTGGGGATGATATGCTATTGTGAGCAGACACAACATGCTCGTGTGACCATGGCGACTATCAGATTTATTGATGGAAGTAAACAATAAATATTTATTTTCATGACATATCTGTGTGTGCTTGTAATATTCTATTTGTGTCTGTGTAATATGCATTGTCATTTTGATTATTCCTGTTTATCATTGTGTTAAATCTGATATTTGTCACATGTTATTGAATATCTGCCATTGCAGTTTCAAAATTCCAAAAATGGCGTTACTACAGGTAATAATGATAAATAGCATATAAGTCTGGTTTTCTTCTGGTGCATTAGTAATTCAATAACATATTTCTTCCATGACAGTTTACAGCCTGAAAGTAAAACAAATATGCAGAAATAGTAGTAGAAAAAAAGATTGGGTTTTGTTTATGGTTTCCTGAAGGAAAGATCACTTGTCCTTCCTGAACTGTGCTATTCTTAGACATATGTATGTGATAATTATAAAGTTTGGTTTATACACAGACACTTATAATATACACCCGTGCATTAATTAAGCACCACCCTATTTTGAAAAGAAAATGTGATGCTACAGAAAAGTTAGGGTATAGCCATCAATTTAATCAACCTGTAGTTAAAGAAGCTTTATCCATTGACAGTTTTACAAATACCATAACCTTTTTATTCTTTATGAAAGAATATGTTGATGAAAATGTGATGGGACTGAATTTTGACCCAAAATTACTATTCCTCTCCTGCTCAAACTACACAATTAAATTAAGTTTTGACTAAAAATAACAATTCTGTTATATACCAAGATGACATTTACACATCAAGTAAGTTTAATTATGCATAATCAGGAAGAACCCGAATGTCAAAGTTTCAGACCTTTTTCCAACAATTCAGATTGCTAATTAACAAAAACTGAAAAAAGGCCACATTAATAAGATTTTGGAATAAATTTTTTATGATTTTGAGTTTATTGTAATGAAATTTTCCTTTTTTTTAGTCTGACTAACTTTTCCTCAATCTTAGTTTACAAACTTTCATCCATTCACCATAAATAACGAATTTATAGGCCACACAACAATCAATTATTACTTTCACTTTTCAAAATAAGGTAACTTGTTTTAGGACAGAAAAACACCTGTTTTAAATATAGGCAATTATCCTAATTAAAGTACATGGTAATTTCAATGATGTTTTTGTTTTTAAAATGTTAAACGCTTGCTCTATCAAATTATAAAGGTTTTATTTTTTATGGAAAGAGCTTAGAATTTCATTTCAGACAAAATTAATTGGTAAAAATACAGGGTGGTGCTTATTTTATGCACAGATGTATATTAAGTTTTAATTAAAGCTGAAGTCTGACATATAGCTTACACCGAAACCTACAAGGTTTATCCGTATACCTGACTCTGACTGTGTGTTTACTGGTTGAGTTGACGAGATGAATACACGCTAGACAGGTAATTTGTCCTATACTGTGTACTTCCCCCCTAGATTAATGCATGGACACACCTGGTATTGACACCGGGACATTCCATTGTCATCTTGTAGGGGTGAGGGAGTGGCAACAGACTGTGACAAGATACCTTGGCCAGTGTGGAGTAGGGGCTATCTTGGACATGCTTGGATTACCTTTCCAATATGGTAAGATTAAACTGGACAACATATTGTGAGACCTTCCATGTTGTACACTGTCCTGTACGTGTGATATACTTCAGTGCCATGGACGGTGGCTGTGAGGTAGTGGGAACTTGGGGTAAACTAGGACATTGTTCGAGTTGGACCTGGGGTATTGAGACAACAACAATGAGAGCCATGTGGGTAAATCTGTAGCTTGTGTTAAACATTTGTTCTGTGTGGGATCATTTTAGGTGTTGTCAGTTGGTATGCCCGGGAGGAATGCTTGTTTGTACTTGAATGATAAGATGACAGACAGATCTAGGTAAGGACTAGATAGGCCTCTTGAAGATTGTGAAAGTTCGGCTGTAGTCTCATGTCGTAATGACAGTCAGGCCAGGTCACACGGGCTGTGGTCTGATGGCTAAACACAAGACTGATTATGACTATGAATCTATATTTGGTTTTAAAGTGAGATTACATTTGATTCTCCGTCTTATTTCTGTCTTCTGTCCGTCCGTCTCTTCCCCCCCCTCTCCCTCTCCCCCCTCCCTCTCTCCCTCCCTCACACACATTCTCTGTTTTAGTGAGGATGTCTTAGAGAAAGGAAAAGTTTATTTCGGTCTTTTCCTGTTTATAAATAGTCATGAGCATAGGCTTGTATCAAACAGCCTATCTTCACTTGACAGGATCACTCATGGAGGAAGGAGGATAGGTGTTTCACACTTCATGAAGAATTTAAAATTTTTGTTATCAGAATGACATGACCTACTTTTGAATATTATCTGTCACTTAATGACTTCAACTTGACAAGAATATGTTGCATTTCTCACATTCAATCAGTGTTTGTAAAAAAAACAACATTTGCATGTTTTAAAATGTTTATTCATTTCATTATGGATAATACTTCAGGATTTATAGAAAAGTGTGAATATGATGAACAAAAGATTCTTGCATTTTAGAATAAGGTTTAGTGTCAATTTGTCTGGAATATTCTATTTCCACTAGAATTGTTTTAACTTAACCATCAATGTCAACATCAGTATGATGTATCAGTTTCCATCAAAGTACTTTTGTTACAGTTTGGTTATATGACACCCAACAACCTTTTGACTTGAACTAAGCTGAAACATCATAGTACAGTTATCTGCTGATCAGAACAAATACGAATATTGGGTATCAAATACGAATATTGGGTATCAAATACAAATGTTGGGTATCAAATATGAATGTTGGGTAACGAATGCTGAATATTGAGTAACAAATACG